TCATTTCATATGAAATTTATGAAACTCGTCACGAACTTTTCATTTCTGCTCGCCAGAGACTCGCTAAATCGAAAATTTCTTTTTATAAATCTCATATGAAATGGAAAATCATGTAAGATCGTGTATATATATTTATCTGTTGTATTAAACTAATTTTTTTTCTTACCTGTAGATGCTCTATATCACTATGATGGCGGCGTTCGTTCCACCATTGGACCAACAAGTACCGCTGGAATATGGGCCACATATCCTCAAACTTTTCTCTCCGTCACCAACAGTATAGTGGACCAGGTTAGTTGGCCCTATGCTAACCTTTCTCAATTTAAAGATTGTTTTATCTAAAGTGGTTGAACTTATTTATTTATTTTTAGTCAAAATATTTTAAATAACCTTTTCTTGTATCTCCAAATTGTCTCCCTTCTCTATGGTAACCAGCTAAGGCAATATATTTTTGTTAATATTGACCTTATCAAATAAAAAAGGGGTAACTGAAAACCCCCCACAAATAAACGTACCGTCATCTTAAATTCCCTAGCAGTGTATAGCATAGCTTAAGAACCCTTACAGAAAATAATTCGAATGCGTCAAATTATAACCTGTAAAAATATTCCTTGAAATTCCTTTAAATTAATCAACAATATGATTAACGTTCTCAAACAAAACTACTCTAATAATAAAGAACTTCATTTCACCCCGTATTTTTTTTCAATTTCTAATAAATATTATAATTTCGCATAGTCATTTAATTCTCTACATATTTCATATAATCCTTTTCAATTAATTGCCTAAATAAAAGAACATACTACTGCATTAAAAGCATTCATATACGTCCCGTTGTAGATATTTGGGGCTGCAGTCTTGCTAATATGTGTGTCGGCGCTGTCAGACAAGAGGAACATGAATCCGTCTTCTGGACTCATACCTGTGTGTACTGGACTTCTCGTCTTTGTTATAAACACTACATTCTGTTTCAATTGCGGCTGCGCAAACAACCCAGCACGTGATTTATCACCAAGATTATTTACTGCAATGGCTGGATGGGGAAGCCAACCTTTCAGGTAACTGGAGTTTGATTAGATTATGATAACTTTGTTTTATTCTAATTCAAATATTTCCGCAAGTTTGTACCGTAAACGATTTTATTATCTTTATTTAGGATATAAAGGATATCATAACAAAACTCGAAAAAAAATGAAAATCGAAAAAAAATACTATTGTAAATTACTGTCAAAGTAAAGATTTACTTAAATCCAATTAATACCACGTCCTCAAAGCGAAAACTAGGAAAGTAACAACGTTACCAGGTTCACTAATAAGCAAAATAGAAAATGTCAACCTTCACATAACACAAGAAAATAACTTATTTACCAATAAGATTACGATGATAACCATACAAACGACGTGTCCATGATAAACAAACAATTAACAATTTGTGCAGAATGTTAAACTACAGGTATTATTCTTTTTTGGAACCGAAACAAGCAAGCTTACCCTATTATAGATTCAGGAATACTAGAGTTTAGAATATTGTGGTCCGGATCCTTATAGTCTGAAAATAGGAGTCTGGATTATAAAGACCCTCATTAAAACAGTCTCATTGTATTGCATCTATAGTTTGCTGCAAACATTACCTGCGGTGAAAGTCTGAACCACTTTTAATTAAATCAATAAATCAGGAACAATGCATAGACTTTATTTGGAGCATCTTGTATTTCATAAACGGACAAGCGGTTGATTCAAAATGTATTACACTTATGTATCTCTTCAGAAATTCCAGAGTCTCATTTTATATTTGTATGTCAATTAATTAAGAAAAGTTTTGTTTGTAAGTATTAAGTGCGCCAAGTAGTAAGCAATCAGCTGTCAACACATTATACAAATATATCAGTGAGGTCTAAAAAAACAATCGACTTTATGCATTTAAATCGAGAAAAACTTGAATATTGAAATATCCTAACATTTATGAGCAAATACTTTTATCTTGTATTAAAAAACATACAAACGTCCTTAACTGAGTTACTTGGGACTAATAGAGCCGTCAATGAAAATCAGGGAAAATTACGGTTATCAAATGATGATAATTAATTTTGTGACTATTATGATTGGCTTCCCTCTTGTTTTTGTAATATTGTAATCAATGTCCGCATTTTGCACATTACGTTAATTTTCCTTTCTTTCGTGTTTTATCATCAGGGAAATATTGATAAGTTGGATTGCAGAAACGTCTTATTCTGTTTATCATAAGACGGTTCGATGTCCACCAAGGTATAAACCCCTTTGTGTACAGCTACAGTGTATCAGCAGAGCAATGTGATTAGAATACCCTATCTTATTGCTAATCTTCATCAGAAGAGTTTGATCGCACACTTATATATTAAAATTCAGAAATAATGGCTCGAAACATTCAATTTACTTATTAAATGTCAAAAGCTTAACAATATATTTCAGAGACCTTTATGGGTTTTTTTTAATTTAATATTTCATAGTTCCAGATTTATTTCGTAATTGACATGTAACTTCAAATCAAAGTCGTAATTTACCTGTTACTACAAATTTAATTCGTAATTTACCTGTAACTACAAATGTATTGCGTAATTTACCTGTAACTACATATTTTATTCGTAATTTACCCGTATCTACAGATTTTATTAGTAATTTACCTGTTTTAGTTTTAACAGATACTCGTATTTTTGGGTACCAGTGCTCGGGCCACACATAGGAGCAGTCCTTGGTACCCTTGTGTACGATCTCTGTATTGGTTTTCATTGGCCAGATGACAATGAAAAGGTCAATGTCGACCAGCCTGTTTGGATTCCACGGACATTTCACAAATTCAAACAAAAACGTATGTGACTATCAATTAATCATTAATGCTAGTGTATTTATCAAATTAATTGAAACCATTGCTATTTACTCAAATGGTTTTCTATGAAAAGAAACAATTTAAGCAAAGTTTGGTCCGAAATAACTTTGGTGTGAATTCAAAGCATATACTTATCACTTAGTTATTATAACTCTTTGTAAATTTGAGTACAAGTTCATGGAACGATTTTCAAAAGCTTGAATCATATTAGTTTACTCTTGTAAGATTTTGTTGTCATTTGTGATTTTAATTTATTGAACATACTTATATTGTTATTTTCAGAATACTGCAAAAACAAAAGTGAGGAATTTGACCATCTTTTGGAAACCTCCGTTTGAAAAACAAAAATATCTTATAGGTTTAAATACTTTACCGAAGTATACATATAAATGCATAAATAAATAAAGAATACAACAGATACATAAAGACTACAGCACCTATATAAAGTGTACAGCAGTTAGAAAAGAAGTATACATAAGATACATAAAGTATAGGCCTACAACAGAGATAAAGTATACAGCAGATACATAAAATGT